TCCTGATCCTAGCGCTGTTTCAGGGGGGGCTCGGGGAACATTGAAAAAAAACACCTGAAGCCCGTACCACCCCCAACCCGAAATTCGGGTCTTCGGGTTGGGTTGGGGTGGTCTGGTATAGTCAGTCTCCCTCCTGGGGTGTGAGGGGGAGGGGGGCGGTGTCGTCGTGGCCGGCGTCCGTCGCCGACTGCAAAGGAAGGCCGTTGGAGACATCGGTCGTCGCCCACCGCCCGCCGCCAATCGCCCATCACCTCGTCGAGAACAAACTTATACCCGAATGTCTCATGAAACGACGACGAGGTGGCCTCATTTAGGATCCCATCTTCGCACTAGAGGTAATCTTTTGGGGCGGTTTGGCCGGGTACATCTGCAGAAGAGACCCTTTTATCCCTAATGTTGTGGCCCTCCTTTTTTTATGTCCCCTCCCGCAAGGTTTAGGGTTTGGGATACTTTTATCAGGAGGGGGAGCAACTCACAGACAATGGATCGTCGATTCCCAGGAAGACGTGGGAAACTATGGGAAGTGGGGGGGAGACGAGCACTTAGAGATATCAGAAAATATCGTGAATCCTGGCATGTGTGTCGATCCCGGTGTGTTTCCCTGGGCCCCTGTATTCGATTGCTTCTCATCGCCGCCGCCGCCCACATCGTCGTCGTTGCGGGGGGGCGCTCGCGGGTGGCGCTCTTGTCGCGGGGGGGGGGGGGGCCGGGGGGGGGGGGGGCGAGAGGGCTGTGGAGGCAGAGGCGGAGGAGGCTGAGGCGGAGGACGAGGATCGTTGGCTCAAGCAGTGGCGAAGCGCCCCAGCTCGCCTACTGGGCAGACTGCAGAATGTTCCAAGAGCCTTTCTGGTGGTCTGCACGACATGTTCTCAGAACATCTCTGGCTCAGACTGTCTTGTTTAAGCGCATCGGGCTCATGTTCTAAGAACATCGTTTTTGTTCGTAGAACATTTTTGGTGTTCGAAGAACAGTTCGTGGTAGGCCTACAGGAATGCCGTCACGGTCGGTCCCTGCTTAATTGGCGGTGGGCGAGGGGGAGGGGAAAGTGAGGCCTTTTCAGAGGGCGGCGGGGCTTCTCAGAAGCCCTCGCGTCTTCAGAGGTTGTTTTGCGCGTCTCCCAGAAAGGCTCAGAAAGCTGCTCAGAAAGCCAGGGGACTTCGAGCCTTCTGAGAAGGCCCGCCCCTTCTCACTTCCCACCTCGCTCGCCGCCGAACCGGGAGCACATGCGAACAGAGTTCCGAGTCATTAGGGCTCGGGGAAGGCAAGGGTAGCTTCAGATTCGCGCCTGGGGGGCCCAAACCGGATTTACCCTTGGCCGCAATTAACCCGGATCACTCGGGCGTCCAACCTTCCCGAATCATCAGGGCTGGGGGCAGTCAGGGGTAGCTGCAGATTTGCGTCTCGGGGGCCCAAACCAGAGTTACCCCAGACCGCAGATATTCCGGATAATTCGGGCGTCCAGTGCGATTGGTCGGAGGTTGATGGACATCCTACCCTGACACGTCGATTTGCGAATTGGCGGTTTTCGGTTCGCGAGAGAACGTCGCGGCCGTCATTTTTGCGGGTCCTGTTCCGTCGGTTTCGGTCCTAGGCCGTTTACATTAAAGAGAGGTTTGCTAAAGGGAGGTTTGTCCACTGCCGAATTGGAAGGAGCCACGCTTGATCCGGGGAAGCGTAAGATTCGAGCTCGCCGGAAGTTGGTTTGGCGAACATGTTTTGAGCCCGTCCTGGAGTTGGACGCTCCAGTATTCATGGGATGTTTGCAGCGGGAATTCGCGTCAAATTTCAGATTGTGTCTCGTCATTTTCCTGATTCGGCGGCGGCGGATCTGCAGGGACGAAAATCCGCACGATTCTTTCTGGATGTTGATTTAGTGCGCAGCATCATTGCCCGCCATCCATTCGGCCGCCTTCTCCTGGCATCGCCGCCGGCGGGCGCGTTGTTGCTTTGTCTTCCTGTTGGCGCGTGTTGGAGCGCCATTCCGTCGGCTATCGCCAGTGTTGCGGGTCGCCTGTGATGCCCACGGCGTAGGGCCCGCGGCGAGGAGTCGCATCAGCGGGATCGCCAGCGCGTCTTGCTTTTCGGGACGCGCCGTTTCGGGGGCTCCAGGCCCGTTTTCGGGGCATGATGGGGGCGGCGGGCAGGGCGGGACATCGGGGCGAGGAACAGGAGGGGGCGGAGGGAGGAGGAGGGTGGCGAGGGAGCATATTAGAGTTTAGAGGACATGCAGCCAAGGGAGGGGGAACCAGCTACTCCTTGATCTCGCAAACTTGAAAAATGGCTAGACGAAAGCACGATCTCTTCCCATTCTCTCCTCCTCGTTTCTACCTGTGCTCTCCTTCTTTTTCTCGCTGCCCGCGGTTGGAGCTGGAGTTGCGGCCGCGCTCGTAGGGCGCTGTGCTTCACCGTCATACAAGTCGTGCGCCCAGCCCCAGGCAGGCAGCGGTGCAGGTCCGACATGTGGACTGCACCCACCTTGCCCTGTTCTAGTCATACTATTCGTCGAAATTGTCATGTCCATGATGTTCCGCGTCCTCGTGTCCCTTTCCATACTCGGGGGCGCAAGGGCGACGAACATCGAAACAACTTTGTTTCGTTCGTCGTCCGAGGGGGCGGGGTGGACCGACGACACTCGGATCGACTAATGTTTGTGTCGTCGCCGCAGCGGGCCGCTGGGCGAAAAGCCGTGCGCCCCCCTGGACTTGGAACGAACACAGCGAGCATTCTCATCGTCCGGAGAAGCTGCTCCCGCGCAGGCGGCGGCATGTTTTTGTCGTCGTTGATTTTCGTGGCGGTTTCATCGAATGCCCGAGGCGTGAATGGCGCTGTGCCGCTGGCACAGGGGACGGGGAAGTGGCGGGGGAGAGCGGGAGCAGGCAGGGGAGGGAGGAGGAGGAGGAGGAGGAGGAGGAGGAGGAGGGGGAGGGTTGCTTCGGGGCTGTTTGGGGATCCGCCGCTTCCCTTCTCCAGGGGTTCTCGCGACCCTGAGCGGGCCATCGCGGGGCCGTTTGGGGGCCGTTTTCGAGCTCCGAGCCGCCCCCGAGAGGGCACGAGAGATCATCGCTTCAGGCTCCGCCAAGCGGAGCTCGGCCTGGGGCTCTGTGGGAGCCCTCCTGGCGCCCTCCAGGGCCGTCCCGGGGGCTCCGAAGAGAGGGCTCAAGACGTTCGCGCTTCCGCATCTGCCGGGCGGGGTCGGGCCAGGAGCTCTCCGGAGCCCGCTCCTGCCCACCCGTGCGGCCCTGCGAGGGCCCTCGTGGCCCGAACCGGCTAGGACGCGTCTCCCCGATCGGTTGTCGTCCCAGCAGAGCCTGCCTTGCCCCGATCGCCGTAGTCGTCGTGTCTCGTCGGCGCCGGCCGTCCGTCGTCGTCCGCCGCAGTTCGCGGTCTTTCCGCCGTGCTCCGTCGGCCGTCGTTCAGGTCAGGAAGGAGGAGGAACAGAAATGACAGCGCGTACGACAAGCCGTGCGCTCCCTATTTTCGTTGTGTTTCCACCTTTATGACCTCATGAACCTTCTTCGCCCGTTGCCATCGAGCGTGGCAGTGCTGTTCCCGATGTCACGACTTTTCTGAAACCCGCAAACCAAGTTTAGCCTGGCGAAGGACCCAACCATTTGCAGTTGTAAGCGCCGCAGTTGTGGGTAACGTCTTCGGCGGAGCTCCTATCATAGGAGTCCTATGGGCCACGAAAGCTGTGTCGGGCGAGGGAGACGCAGGTGGTCCCTGCAACTGAGGCCTTCAGTGGAGCTCCACGAAGCGATGTACTTAATCGGGGAGACGCATGCGAACTTCGCCACTGAGGCCTTCGGTGGAGCTCCCTGTGGGCCACGATGCATTGGGCGGGGGAGGCGCACGTGTACTTATCCACTTCGGACCCTCGGTGGAGCTTCCTTTGGACCACGAAACGATGTACTGGATCGGGAAGACGCATGCGATCTTTGTCACTGGGGCCTTCGGTTGAGCTCCGTATCCGCCATCAAACGCTGTACTTGGCGGGGGGACGCATGTGGACTTTGCCTTTGGGGCCCTCGGTGGAGCTCCTTATGGTCCACGAAACGCTGTAATGGGTGGGGAGACGCACGTGGACTTTGCCATCGGGGCCTTCGGTAGAGACCCCCTCTTGGGTCAAGAAGCGTGTGAGGGGTGTGCCGAACAGGTTGATATGCGAAGGGCAGAGGAAAGAGTATGGGAGGATGGAGCAGGGGGAGGAGGAGGGAGGTGAGGTGAGTGACGCGGGGCGCTGTCTCCTCAGAGCGAGGACCCAACACCACAGGGGGAAAAGCAACAAACCAGACTAAACAGCGCAGAGGATCCGCGCTCCCGAGGACGCGGCTCCTAGTAAGCAGCCACAGGCCCGCGCTCCCCAGGACAGACATCCAGATGTTCTCGCAGTCAGGCGGGAAAGAGCCGTGCTCCCGAGGCCACGATCCCGTCGGGACGGTCAAATGGGAGACCCGCGGATGCCAAGAAGAGCAGGAGGCCGAGGCGGAGGTTGGACGAGGGCGAGGGCGAGGGCGAGGACGCACGGACACGAGGGCGAGGGCGAGGGGCGAAGAGTCGGGCCCGGACGGAGACGATGACCGGGGCAGGGGTTGTCGGGGGCGGCAAAGAGGGGGGTGATGACTAGGGGGGGTTGGATATCTTGGCGGGGGCCATGATATTTCCCCAGATTTCATGGCGCCTCTTCTTATTTCACTACGTTCCTGGCCCCCCCGCTGGGCCGCGCACATGCCGCCGGTCATAATTTGCACCCCCTCCTCCCGGACACCCAGCTCTTTGCCGCTCCCGAGGTTGGGCCGGCCGGGGCGAGGACGAGGATGAATCAGTTCCAGAGCGATCGGGTACGCTCTCAGAGTTTCTGGAACGCCCTGAGAAAGCCGCGGCTCCCGAGACATCCTCCAGAGCCGCCGGAGCTCAGAGATGCTCGAATTATTCTCACCCGAATGCATCCTCGTCCTGGCTTCGTATTCTTTTGGGGGGCAATCGGCTCAGGGGGAACGCATCGACCCTTGGTCGCCCATTTCTTGCCGATCGGGGCTTGGGGCGCACCCTTCCCGCCCAGCAGCATGCCGATCCGCCATCGAGAGGCCGATCCGTCGGTGACGTGCCGCAGATTCCAAGACGACCCAAGCATCGGCCGCTGCAATGTTTTGCAATGCCTTGGCGACCGGGCGGGTGCTAATTGGGGGTGGCCCAAATCGGGGGTGAAGAAAAGGGCCCTCGAGGGGCCCTTTGGGGGCCGTTTTGGGGCCAGCTGGTGCCAGCTGGGGCCCTTTTGGTCACCCCCCATTTGGGTCACCTCCTATTGCCATGAAGTCGGGGAAGTCCCTCTACAGGAAGAATATTCAACATGGATGTGTGAAGTATTTCTGGCTATCTCCGCATAGTTCTGACTATTTTCTATCTTTCGTACAAAATTCGTCTGCAAGAGGACATTCCCGACCTAATATCACCACCCGCCCGAGGATCTCTGGGGAGGCAGCGGCAGCGGCGGCCGGCGGCCACCGCTCGCCAGGCGGTGTCCTGGGAGATGCGGCTCGTGCCGCCCGCGGGCGCTCCGCCGCCCAGGCAGGTGCTGCCGCCGAGCTTCGCGGCGCAGCAGAGGCGAGGGCGCCCGGTCGGTTGCCGCCGTGCGATCTTCGGGGGCCCGGGGTCGGGGTCGAGGCAAGCGGGAGTCAGCCAGAGCGCTGGATCTTGCAGGATGCTGCAGGGACAGGGTCGCACCGACCCGGGCTTGGGTGCCGGATCCTGCAGGATCTTGCAGGATCCTTCGCGCTGACCCGGGCTTGGGCGCAGGATCTTGCAGGATGTTGCAGGGTTCTGCAAGGCCTGACTGACCCTGCATTGACCCGGATCAGTGAGTCCCCGAGGTCCGTCGGTGGGTCGGGTTGGTCGGTCATCCGCCGTGGCCGCCGTCGTCCTCGCCCCCTCCTGGGTCTGCTTTGCAGCTTGGGATTCGAGAAGAGGGGGAGCGTTCGCTACGCGTCCTCCTCTCTAGGAGGTTGAGAGGCGCGAGTGTCCTTCGCGCGCGGGCCCCTTCACTCGGCGGGGCCTGCGGTGCTCTCGGGCCGGCTCCTCCTCTTCCTCCTCCGCCTTCTCCTCCTCCTCCTCCGCCTCCTCCTCCGCCTCCTCCTCCTCCTCCTCCTCCTCCTCCTCCTCCTCTACTCCCCGCTCCTCTACTCCCAGGGCTTGGCTCGCGCTGCTCTGCAGAGGGATGGCGCCCGCGCGGCGGGCTCCGGGCGCGCCAGGGCGACAGGGGCGCGCCGACCTCACTGCGAGCTGTCCTGCAGTGCTGCCGGCAGCCGCCGAGGCGGCGGAGGCGCTGAGCATCAGAGCGTGAATTACCTACCCCGCTTTCGCTTCCAGGCAAAACCAAGTCATACCACGCGCCTCCTCGTCAAGCTGCCTGACCAGTGCAGGCCGTAGTTTGGCATCGTTTGGTATCTCTTGAAAGCGAGGGTGGTCAAAAGCGAGGTAGGTTTGTTTTCCCCCTGGAGCGGCTGGAAGGGGCGGCGCGCGCCATCGAGGGGCGGCGGCAGCGCCCGCCATGGAGGGGCGACCTCCCTCTTGGGCCCTCGAGCAACTCGGGGATCGACTACAGAGCTCGTGTACCCCCAAATTGAGCTTCGAGTCGCCAAAAACAAATGCATCTAACGAATTCGCAGACCCACGAATCTGGTACGGTTTGTTGTGCAGGTTCGACGAACAAACCAGCGCTGGGGTAAATCAGTGTTGTAGTCGATCCCATACTCGACGCGGGATGGCGGCCCCGAGGAAACTCCAGGCGGTCTGCGGCAGGCCTGGCCAGGGCTGGGACTTGGCCACCAGGCGGCGGCACCCGGGCTTCCGAGACGGGTGTCGATGCAAGCGGGGGCCAGCCAGGGCGCCGGATTTGGCAGGATCTTGCAGGGCCGGGGCTGCGTCGACCCAGGCTTGGGCGCAGGATCGCGCAGGATCTTGCAGGAGCCTGCAAGGCCTAACTGACCTGGGGTTTTTGGCTTGACTCAGGTCAGTGAATCACCGACGGCGGAGGCACTCGCGGCCGCATACCCCGCGGCGGGCTCCGTGGCCGCCCGCGCGACCAGCCTCGCTTCCCCGTGGGTGCGCGCCACCTGGCTGCGCGCCGTGCGGAGCTCCTTCGGCAGCGCGGTGTAGCACCAAGCCGTCGAACGCTCGGCGCGCGCGGTGGTGGAAGGCCTTCGCTGGCGGGTGGCCGCCGACGCTGGGATCGCCCACGAGGAGGTGATCATGGGCTTACGCTCGCGTGTGATGCTGAATAGGCACACTTCTGGAGTTGTACGGCATCGAGGAGTGGGGCGACGTGGTCAAGACCTTGACGATTCGGGGGGTTCGGAGTGTGACAGACTCCCGCGCCCAGAAACCTTCGGGAAAGGCTTCCCCACTGAGGACCACGGCCACGCCTTCCACGCTTTCCGGGCCAAGTTGTCCTTCGAGCGGGACCTCGCATCGGTCTCGGCATTTTGGGCCTGGGGGGGCGCGGGAGAGGTGCTGGACTTGCCGGCGAACTACGGCAGCATTGCAACAGGGCGTGCATGGGCAGGGGGGAGGTGGAGACGTTCCCGCGCCAGCTCTTTCAGCCGACCACCCAAGCGCCAGAGGTGGAGGACAAGGTAAAGCAGCAACAAGAGATGGACCGTGGCATTGGCAACGCCGTGGAGGGGGCCGAGGAGAACGCGCAGGGGCGCGCGAGCGCCCCAGAGAGAATGCAGCGTTTCGGAGGCCCCCGGCCGCAGCGCGCGTCAGAAGTGGCAAATGATTCGTCGAGTTATCGTGGAGGTGGCGGCTTCCTCCCGCTGGCCTGCCCGCGAGATTTACGGCGCTGGTTGCGAATAGTTATCGACGGGGCACGGAGCAATGTGTTGCGTGTTCGGCGGCGGTTCAACGTCCAGGACATGGCGACCGAGACTGTTCGAGCTCCAATCGTTTGGCTGGTGGGCATTGACACACTCGAGGTGAAGCCCGCCGCCCCGCTGAGCGGCCACTCCGCCAAGGTCCACAGCGACGCACGGACGTTGCGCTCGGCCCACGCCCCAGAGCCTTGTGCGTTTTTCCCCCGCAGGAAGCCTTCCATTAGCTTCTCCGCGGCACGCGTTCTTCGTGCCTCGAGGACAAGGGGGCCCCCCCTTGTCCAGCCGTGTTCGCGCGAGCTGGCCGGACCGCAAAGGGCAACTGCCCTCTGCCACTTCCCACCAGCGCGCCGCCAGAGATGTTCCGGCACTTGCCAGAGGGCCAGCGAGATGCGCGGCTGCGGCAGCAGATCGCAGGTTCAGCAGATCAGGCAGGTCGACGGCCTGCCCACCTTATAATTACGTTGCTAAGTACTACCAGGGCGCCTACGTCGGTTGGGTCGAGGGCAGCCTGGCCAGGGGCGCCATCCGTCTCGGGCGCCGTCGAGAGGAAGCTGTCCAGGTATCCGATTCTCCGAGACCGTTCTACTACTTGTAATGTGCTTACTTGCGAACGCCCGAAACAAAAAGTACATGCTTGCTTGGATGTATCGTAGACACCCCGCGGCGGATCCAGGCCGTGTGCGAGTAGTTACTTTGCGAGTAGTGGAACGCGCTCATCAACGAATGGCCCCCTGCCCATCCTGCCACCGTGCCTGGGTTGTTAGTATGAAGCCAATTGGATATGTCTTGGGATATCGCGGGAGACCTCTCGGCGGCTTCAGTTTTGAGGCCTCTTGAGAGCTCTTTTTCGGGCCTCTCGGGACAACTTGGGGGCCTCCTGGGCTTCTTGAGAGCGAGACCTCGCCGACGTTCTACGGGGCGTCGCGGGGGGGCTTCTCGGGGGGGTCATCGAGGCGTGCGCGACGCCGGCAATGTCGTCGCGCATGCCTCGCGGCCAATTAGCGGAGCGGCGCCCAGCGAATCCGATGCCGAGCAGCAGTTCGGCGCGCAGTTCCTGAAGTCAGTTAGCGGAGCGGCGCCCCGTTTATTTGGTTCCCCCCCCCCCCGTGCGAATCGCATGCTGCGAGGTGGATGCGCGGAGCGGTGCTCCGCTGATCCGACGCGGTGCATTCCAGGTGCCGCCGCGCATGCGCCGATGCTGACGCCCGGAGCGGCGCTCTGCTGATCCGACGCGGCGCGCTCCGTGAAGTCGCGCGCTGCGAGGCCAATCAGCGGAGCGGCATTCCGCTTGCCCGATGAACTGCATTCCGGAGATGGGCGCACACGGAGGCCAATTCGCGGAGCGGTGCTCTGCTTATCCGACGAGGAGCACTCGGGGAGTCACCGCGCACGTTGTGCGCTCAATAGCGGAGCCGCTCTCGGCTTACCCAACGCCGCGCGTTGAAGAAATATGGGCGAGTGTTTTTGTTGTTCTCGAATGTTCTTCTGGAGCGGGGGCTGAGGCGCAGTGGGCCAGGCAATGGGCCCCAGGGCGCCCCACTTCGTGCCGCGAGGGCACGGCGGCGCATTCCCGTGTCCAGAGCCACCCAGAGCACGCTGGTCCAAGTCGGAGCACGCCGTACATCTGCAAGCGTGTCGAGGTGGATTAGCCGAGCGGCGCTCCGCTAATCCGACGTGGGCCGTTCCGCGAATCGCCCGTCTTGAGGCAACTTGCCGGATCGCTCCCCCGCTGATCCGACGCGGTGCGTCCTGGGAGTGGGCGCGCGCTTGGGGCGTTCCGCCAGCCCGAAGCGGGGCGCTCCAAGAGGTGCCGCGCGTGCTTCGAGGCCAAATAGCGGAGCGCGCGCCGCGCTCATCCGACGTGGCGCGCGGGGGAACCGGGGTCGGACCCCCGTCGCAGATTAGTCGCGGGCGAAGACTGAGAGGGCAAAGGCTCGCGCGATTCGGCAGCGGACCGGTTGACATTCCACTTCGCGCCGCAAGGGCACGGCGGTCGATTCGTTCGCCGAGCATGGCACGGCCACGGAGCGCCGTCCGTCTCGGGCGCCGTCGCGAGGAAGTTGTCGGGGCATTCTTCGCTCGAAAAGAGATCCGCGTCGCCACGGGTCGCCGCCGGATCAACCGGCGCCTTCGAGGCGTCGACGGCCCACCTCTGCTCGGAAGCCGCCCCGGCGAGGTGGCGACCAGAGCGCAATTGCGGCGCGCTGGCGGCGACGCGCCGGGCGCTTTTTCCCCGCGTCATTCGCGCATCTGGCCCGTGCCCACTTCCGACTGGGCGGCGCGCTCGCCCGCGAGATCGGCGTCTCGCAGCTCGCAGCTGGGCGGGCAGACCCTCGTGGGGCCGGTGGTTGTGGCCACTGTTAAGCGCGGTGGCCATGGGCTGGAGGCGGGCCTTCTGCCGCGCTCAGCAGATGGCGCCGGGCCAGGCGCCGGGGCTGGGCCTCGAACGGCGCGCCGTAGATCCGCGGTCGCGCCCTCGCGTTGAGGATGGGGCCCCCCGCGCCGTTTGCACCAGGGGCCTCGACCAGGCTGTGGCGTCGCGCCCGCGGCGGGAGGCGCGCGGGGCCACGCGGGCGGAAGGGCGCGCCGCCGCCGCATGGATAAGCTCGGGGCGGAGCAGACGGGCCAGCCGCGATGTGCAAGGGCATCTGAGACGAGCTACTGGCGCTCGTGGCAGGCGCTGGCATTGATCCAACGCCGTCGGACCCCTTTGACCCGTCGGCAGCTAGAGCGTCTCGCGG